TTTCAATGAACATTGATCTGTCTCCATTGATTTATCTTAACTGCAGATCTTTGAAATTTTAATTTCCTGTTCATCTTGAGACTGCTGCAGATGGAATCACTGAGTGATAACTGGCTACAGTGGATGGAGATGATATGGTCAGTGTTAAAACAGATGAGGTTTGCTTTGCGTGGGTTTGCTGTGAAAATTCCAGTTTGGCTTGGTTTGAGTTTGGTTGATAGATAAGGTGGTTTCTACAACTGCATGTGTGTTTTCTGGTCTTTCAACATTGGAAAATATTCATGTTCTGGAGCAGCAGCATGACTTCTAATTCCTTTACCTTCGCTGTATGCGCCTCATTCAGTTTTAACTTGTTGAAGTTAAAACGCTGACAAGCTATCTACCCTTTCCAAGTCTGCTGTATACTTTTGAATTTTGGAGAGGTCATCGTGTATCTGGACAGTGCTGTGAAACGCATCTATCTAACAAACCGCAGGTGCCCAGAAGCCTTCAGTCAGACTGTTTGACAAGTCACAAACGCAATAACACTTGAATGAACTTCTTGCTCATGCTGTTTATCTGTCTCCCCCCTTTTCCAACTCCCACTCCACCTCTAATTTGTGTTAAGGGGAGAGAAAAAAATAACTGCTCAATGGTGTAGGAGGAGTGGAGATAAGCTCGAAGCAGTTAAGTATAATTAGCGAAAGTAATAGCTGGCAAATGGCAACAAGGCTAGGTTTTTATCTCCTGGAAAGATAGAGTTATCGTAATAAGCTGTAATGGCTGGCAGGAATGCTAGTACTCTGTGCAAGCTTCCATTCAGGCTCGTAGACTTAACAAGGAACAATTTCCCTTGAATTTACTGCTTTGCTCAAACATTTCCCTATGCTTATACCCTGATACTGTAAGTCGATACATGTGTTCAATCCACTTTCATATGGACTAAGGGCACACAGTGCCGTATTGCCACGTAAGCACTTCTGGCTGCCAGCATCGGCCATGTTACACAGTTTCCTCGGAGCGGTTACTCATGTCCTATTTCCAGAGAACATGGAGAAGGAGCAGCAGACCACACTCATATGCCATGTACGGGCGATCCACTCTACATTTTAAGTGAAGTGGCAGGACTGAGGCCACTGAAGGAGCTCTCACACAAAATGTGTAAGCGGCATGAAAGGGCAGCAGATTGAGGCGTCAGATCAAAATAAGATCGGGAAGTGCACATTCCAAGCAGTGGAATTTAACTGAAGACCTGCCATGGATGACTGTGCGCATGCGAGTTTTTCAGAAAAGGAAATGATACGGTCGCAGCTGCACACCGAGTCATGCATTCCATTTTTTCATATTCCGAAACACGATCGCTCACTCTCTGGAGAGCATCACTAAAATATTCATAAAAATGTTCTTCCAAACCCTCACAGAGGAGAAGCATGCGCCTCTGCAGGTCCAAAGCTTGTGTCACTTATCGTGTTAATTTTACTCACATGTGGCAATAATTCTTTTAGTTATTAGCTGTTAAATTTGAAACATATTTGCTGTCACATTGTGTTAGTAAAACTGGCATCATCCCGGATATTAAAACATGACAGATCCCTAACCCAAGCAGGGAAAGACATAAGCAATATAATTGAACAAAACATGTAACCTGTCTAAATCTGAGCAGAAAATGAGAGAAAATGAAATTTCTATTAGTGTCTAATGTTCCCTCTGCCCCCACACCCCGGTGCTCTTCATCTCTCCAGCAAAGTATTCAAATGCAAGCCCTGCCTTACCTCCCCGTGTCTCTTTTTCTCTAATTATCCATGAGGTCAGTAAGCAAAATGGGGAAGAAGCCAGGAGATCAATACAAATTATCCCTGAGCAAACCAGTGCTGACAGTTTGAATTGCAGCATATGTTTACCCAAAATCAGGCAATTTATCTTAATATCAGGCAAGTAATGCAACAGGGGTGAGAGGTCACACAATCTCTCCACCTCATAATTACCCGCCTCTAAAACAGGAAAGTGGTATTGATTGGCCGCGGGCCGGGAAGCGGGCGTGACTGGAACGTGCCAGTGACCCCCCCCCCCCCCCCCCCCCCCCCCGCCATCATACCTCCCATAGCTCTCTCCAACCCTCCTCCTCCACTCGGCTAGACTCCCCACCCAGTGCAGGATTTATGGGATGTGTGTGTAGGGTTTCATGTTTCCTAGAAGCGACTGAGAAGCTTTGCAGAAGGAGTGAGGATGGGCAGAGTGGTGGAGGCTAGGCGGGGGAGGGGGGTGGCTGTACCTCTGCCACCGTATTGTATTTGAAGGTCAAAGCCGACCAAACAAATTTTAGTCCATGTAGATTCAAGCGCCTTCCCACAGGAGAGGAGTGTGTGCGGGAGAAGTTAGACCGTAACAACTTGCCATAGATTAAAAGTAAGACAGAGGTGAAGAGGGTGAAAGTGTGGAAAGGCTGCGGTCCATGAGCGCACCGCAGGAAAACATAAGAAGAGTACTCCCAATGATTCTTGTAAAAGCTCAGCAGATGAAAGAAAATCTTTGCATGGAGGAAAAAATGCGCGGCGCAATGCACTGACTGCACATTTATTGTCAAGACTGAATATAAGTGCTAAGTATATATCATCAGCAGCTCTTACTGGATTATTGACATTGTCTGTGTCTCTCTGAGCTAGCGTACATGCTATGACTACAAAACTGTCAACTCATCAACTGACAGCACCGTTTAGCGCTAATGCAAGTCTCCATCAGCTGTCAAAAGCATTTGCATGAAATCAATAGCAGATGGCGGTCTGTGTCACCAATTTCATTATGCCGGGGTTGTTACAAAGATCATCTCCATGATAGATGGGACGGCGACATGTGGACATGTGGGGATCATGCCTAATGCCTGAACAGCAACTGTACAACACTGGACCGGGTTTGAAACCTAAAACATAAAAGAGGGTTGCTTCAAATGTTTCTATTCTACCCATCAAGGCTTCAAACGCAGTCCACTTCAAATTGTACTCTAAGGATTGAGACCACCAAAACACATTCATCATTATTCTTAGGTTGGCATTTACAGTAGGGCATAATTATCATTGAAAATGCATGTCAGGAAGTACACCTCTCCCAACCCATGTCTCGTCCCATACTGTACGTCTGTCCGGCTGCGTTCCCAGCATGCCTGGCGGGTTGTGTAGGCCCCAGCTGAGGCAGAGGACAGGAGAGCATGATGTATCACCCTGAGAGAGCCCACTGACAGCCTCTGATGATGGATGGCCTGATTATGGAGTGCTTTTTACACATACACAATTTACATCACACTGAGCAGCGGGGTCTGGCAGGGCTGACGTGCACGCACACTTTTTCCAGCAGGGCACGGCCACTCACACACTCAGATAATATGTGTGTGTATACATCAACACATGCATGGGATTGCCAGGGTGCATAGAATAAGAAGGAGGGGGTGGAAATAACAAAAGAAATGAGGGCAAATTCCTTGCTACAGCCTTGTCATGTACAATCAATACCGCAGATCAATCCATTATTAAGGAGAAGATGACTTTCCCCCACATTCCGAAGCAGACCTTTGTCGTCTCAAGACACATGATGACATGTCAAATCAGATTTCCAGCAGTGTATGTAGTTGTGGCATGGGGTTTATTCAGGTGTGTCTGCACTATAGGAATGAATACCACTGCATTTACAAGCTGGATCATTATTATCGATTAGTGCCACGCATTGTCAATGCTTGAACACATAATTGCTCCATTTGATCACGGTCGAGCTGGCGATTACTGTACTCAGGTTTTAGCGCATGCGGTGCATGCACAAGCGTGAACGGGCAATATTTGTGCCAGTTGTGTTTGAGATGTGTGTAATTGTTCAAAAGAAAGAGGAAAAAAGACAAATTAAGAACCAATACATGTTTGTTTCGTGCTTTGAGTCCTCAAATTTAGCCTCAGTGGCCCTGCCTGTGTGTGTGTGTGTGTGTGTGTGTGTGTGTGTGTGTGTGTGTGTGTGTGTCAGTGTGATTATTGGGGAAGGTTGTGAACACATTCTCTGGTGTTCAGCAGGTTCAGCGAGCTGTGTGGTGTTAATGCCGAAATTACATGCTGAGTAATGAGTGATGGGCCAAATTACAGGCTGAACAATGAATAGAGGCAGGCAGCTCTTATTAGTCTCCATAGAAAGCCATTGATTTATGAAGCGCCTTGCTCGGTGGAGTTACTCTCCTGAAAATGATATCTACATTGAGAAGTGATGTTCTCTATTAAGTCGTTCCTTCCCCTTTTACACTGCTCTCCTCCTTCCCTCCCCTCCCCTCCTCTCCCCTGGCCTCCCTTCCCTCACCCTCTCCATGAGACTACACATGATTGTTTAGAATCAGGCGAAGCTGTAAGGAAACCTTCAATTACCCATTAGGACTGTCAGACATAAAACGCCCTGCTCTCACCAAAGTCTGGGTTATGATTCATTTACTTTGTGCCTCTGATTCATCGCCCAATATGCCTCATGCCCCAGATTACTATTTGAGGGGTGGGAGAGATTAATGGCTCCATGGGATCTGCCACCGTATTTCACAGGCCCAGTGTTGCAGTACAGTCGGTGCAGAAGGGTGAAATGACAGCAACTTACACTAGATCAATGTGTGGACAGACTTTCACAGATTATTAAAGCTCTGTTAGATTAAAAGACCCCTGCTATGTAGTTTGCTGTAGTCAATATTCTCAAGCAGATAAAAAGGGGGAGGGTTCCTCTGAAGGATTCTCGGAGTGATATAGGTCATCATGGCTGTTAATGGAATAACACTTGGTGACACAAGTGTCAGAGGAGCTCGTGTCATTTTCCATTGCTTTTTCTCTATTCAGAGCCGCTAATGTTTCATAAAACATAGTATCACCCTCGAGGTTTCTTTGAAATTAGGCATTCTGAAATGACTTTTCCACTGTAAACTCTTACATACTTCTTAATTAGTTTCTTTATATCTTTTGCAAAATTGGCCCCCGAAATGGCACCAATTCTCATCTCCCCGTCCTGTTTTTCAGCCCTGAATGAGCCCACTATCGACTACGGTTTCCAGAGACTGCAGAAGGTCATCCCCCGACACCCTGGTGATCCAGAGAGGTTACCAAAGGTCAGTACGATGTCTGTGGTGTGCAGAGAAAACTCAGAATGTTTAGGACAACAAGCTGTCTGGGTTTTAATGTCTTCATATTCAGAAAATGACAAATAAAAAACAACATTACAATCAGCAGAGGGGAATGCGACGCCCAAGCACTAACAGCGTTGCTTCACATGTGTGGCTAACCCACCAACCAGCGTGGTAATGGTATTAGTTTTGTGTGTGGAGAGAGGCGTAAACTCTCTGTGTGGTAAAATAGCTCAATCAGGCGTTTTCCTCTCCAGTAGTCTGTGGAGATGGTAATCTGGTCAGAAACGACGCCTGCACCCTCATTAGCCCACTCATGTTTTCCTTTCATTTTCTGCGGCTCGATTTGGTTTAATCTTTTGTTTACAGAACCCTGTGCAGTAAACCCTCCAGTCTTACTGCAGCTAATAGACGAAGACTGCATGTTATTATGCTTTGGCTTTCTTATTGTTGTGTGTTTTTCTCTGAGTTGAAAGCAGCTTTTAGCTGCTCATAATAAGCTAATGTGTAGAAATAAAAATCAGAATAAGGTGCACGGATTTCTTTCACTTATGCGGGACTCTTTTTGATTCCTTTATCCCTTTTCCATTTGCGCCCGATACAATCGGTGTGTTTTCACTAATTGCCACCCTGCCGGTAACCATTTCGAGGACCGAAGTTCCAGATGTCTCAAAAGTAATAATATGACCGATTAGTCAATTCAAAACCCCTCGGCATAAAGCGGAGACCACCTCAGAGTTTTAATAATACTGTAAAACCTTTAAAGACCTTATCTATTAAATCCCAGCAAGCAACAAAGCAATATTATTAATGTCCAACGGACAATTTAATAAAGAACAGAGCCGTAGTTGTTTGACCAAGACAATGTGGAGAAATGGAACATCACAGCTCGTTGCTGGTTCGGTATATGAAGTGTTTCAATTAGACGCGGCCCCCGTGGAGACAGAAAGCTGCACCTAGACATGAAATGTTACTCTAATATCACGTGTAAACGTTGACCAAAAGGTAAAAGTACACTTACCTTTAATATCCACATGACTTGTTCTATCTCCGTTGGCACGAGTGGTCAATCGAACTGCACCGTGTCGGTTTCGTAACGTCACTTTTTTCTTAGCAAAATTCACATTTCTTTTTTCAACAGAGACACAATGTTAACATGGTTTTATTACTTAGAAGCCCTACTTTTTTCCTTGAATACAAAGCGCCGTTGGTTGTGAGACAGATTTTGACACTGAGCCCAAGATTAGTTTCCCGGGTGAGCGTATACTTAATATAGCACGGTCTCCCAGCCTTTGCATGAAACAATCACAGAGTGAGATGAAACCCTGCACTTCCAATAAACAACATAAATATTTGATTTGCTCTCTAATGGACCCAAATATGGGGTTCAGGGGGCATGTAAATGATCCCACCAAGTGATTCGTCATTGTTAAGCTTGCCATCGGAGGGTCAGCTCTCGGGGTCAAAAGCACATTCCCAATAAAACAGCCTGCGGCGGGCTGAGGCTGGCATGTACATTTGGAATGAGAACAGAAACAGCATATAGAGAACAGTCATTACAGGGTGCAGGTGAGCCAGGGAGACTCTATAAAAAGAAGATAAAGCTGGAGGACGCGCGGTGTGCATTAGCAGAAAGGCAAATCGACACCAAGCCCACTCACCGCCTTTCCCTCCCCTCCTCCTCCTCCCTCCCATGACTTCACCCTCCAGTTGATAATATTACTGCGCTATTGATTTCCACCAGCCTTCTCCCTGGGACCAGTAAGACACGTGGTAATTGTAAGGAGACAGAAAGCCAATATGGGAGTGCTCATGGATAGCAAGGGATGCACGCTAATATTGTTGCTACACAGAGAAAAAAGGGGGGAAGCTGCCCCTGATTGAAGTTTACCTCGTAATTCTAAGACAACATCGCAGATGACAGTCTGACCCTGTGGGAGGAGTGCAGATATAAAAATTCAATGCAAAGTCCAGGGTGAATATGAAAGTAATAAGTGTGAGCAGTCAAGTGATGAGAAAGGAGATTGGTTTGCGGGCATTGCGTTAAGTGAAGAGAGACTTTGGAATTCACCCTCCTTTTTAAGATCTTGTTATAAAACAATTTTCTATTCATATTATAAAAAGACAATTTATAATACCATTTTGTGCCCTCTGGCAGTAATGGACAAATAGACTGGATATCACATTATATCACACTCAATTTCTCCCTTCTGTAACAAATTAGATTCATTATGAAATTAAAAGTGGAAACTCAATATTGTTTTATTATTAAGCTGATTGCTTTGGATTCTTTTCTTTTCTCCCTAAAATGAGCAGAAGCCCATTCTTTTCCCATTCTTTGTCTAATCCGCAAGGAAAAAATATTACAAATGTGCTCATGTCAAGCAATTACCCATGTATTTAAATGAATCTCTCTTCCTGTGCTCTTTGAAGTACCTTCATCTAATGGCCCTATGCTTCTAAATGCATTCATTACCTCAGGCTAGAGCTAACAGAGTAATTGCCTTACAGTTTTATAATGGCATTAGCACTCCAAGCTACATAACCTAGGCCCCCTTTTATTAACTGTGATAATATAAATACAACATCCGTGTTAATCTACTGCTTGAAGAGTTGCGTTCGGATTCGTTATTGCTAGATATTTTTTTATATCATTTGCCAATTCTTCCACTCCCCCCCCCCCCCCTCCCAGCAATAACATAAAGCAGCTTCTAAATCTTAGGTGATCAGTCATCTGAGCAGCCCCATTCAGACATTTGTGCAGCACAAGACCTTTATGCAAAGCGCTGCAAACAATAGTAGAAATCAGTCACGCATTTGTCACAGAACAGCAGAAATCATTTGAAGCCTTTAATTGTTTCAATTTAACATGGTGTGTTCAGATATGTCTCCATGACAAGAAAGCCAATTACACTTATACCGGAGCAGCATTGAGATTTACATGGAAATGCCCTCGGAACACTATTTCGTGCTAATCGCATTCACAGCGTGAGCTGATGCGCATGAAAGCGTCTCGTCAGAAGAAAACAAACTTCTTCCTTGATTGGGTGCAGCACTTCTCATCATCCGCGGATATGACTGGGTTGCCACTTAAGCAGAGCCCTGCGAGTCAGCTTGGTTAGTTAAGACACCACGCGGTAAACGACAGATTAAGGATGAGAGGCAATATCGTTTTCTCTCCTCCCTTTTTTCCCAAGCTGTCCTTATGTCACTGCTGCAAAGTACCATATGGACAAGGAGGGAAAGGACATTTTACGGAGAATGAAACATGGCTTGCGAGCGCGACAGTCTTAATTGCTTTAATTGTTGTTTAAAATTGAGAGCCATGTAGGAGATCTTGAAATATGATAGAATAGATTATTGGTAATTATTAACTGCAGACAAAAAAGAAAGAAAACCACTTTATCTCACTCAGCAAGAGAGAGAGAAATCTGTTCTGCCTGATGAGAACACATCAAGACAGCTGGTCCTCTCATTTAGTCTACCTGCTTCACGACAACCATAATTCTTTATTTGTATGCAAACTAGATGCATGCAACGTTGAGCATACACACCAATTTCAGAGGTAAATGCCCATTCTAAGAGCCACCCATCCGGTAACTTGGGGTGGATTAAGCGATATGTTTCTATAAGAGAGCATGGCATACGCTGCAAGTGGCTTCTGCAGTGATTCATCTTGATAAATCAAGGGCTGGGCTGGATATGCTCTTTAGGATGAAAGGGCCTATACACACACTGCGTACACACTACATACGCTGTGCCTGGGAGACGCAGGCCAAGTCTTGGAGGCCGCTGTTTGAAGGCGCGAAGGCTGTGTTTACATTCATTTACGGCAGCTGCCGTCTTAATCCCACACTGCCATTGCCAAGTGATGGAACACTTCAGACAAATTACCGAGGCCTGCAAAAGAAAACACAGTGAATGTGGGAAGAAAACAAGCGCCATCTGAGATGTTTCTAGTGACAGATTTGCATTGCTTTTAACCAGAGTTCTAACAGCACAGTCGACAAATCTCTGCTCTACAGCAGGTGACGACAAGAGAGCATTTTAAAAACACGCACAACAGCCATGTCTGCAACTCGCCTTGGTCGGATTAAATGTACTTTAAGAGGAGGGGAGGGTTTTCATAGTGCAAACTGCCTTCGGTATTATGGAAAACAAAGAGAGCAGTCTGGTTTCTCGAGAAGGATTTAATTGTAAGTGCTGAATTCAAAGAGCAGATAAAGACGCACAAACAGGCCAAACCCCACCTAGTTGAAAGCCCAAAACGGAGTGGGGGGAACGGGATCCAGGGCCAACTCATTTTCACTGTCAAGAGCCAAAGCAACACAGCTAATCCGCATTGTCAAATGGGGGCAAGCATGCAGACATGGATAAGACCACATCCTGAGCATCCGTGTCCCCAAGGCACAAGCACCCAGCTCTTGCTGGATGGGAAGTCATTTGTGAAGTCCTTTGCAACAGCCAGTCAAAGAGGTTAATTGAAAAATTCCTTAATGTCATTACAACAGAACTAGATTAACCCAGAGCTAATTCACTTTATTGTTCTGAAGAGAAGGGACTCGGCACTGAACTACGGAGCAAACGTGAAGCCCAGAATCAGGGTGAGGTGTTGTTTTTAAAGGACTATGCCAGTTTAATTAAGATAGGGAACATTATTCACTGCTCTGCATGGTTGGAAGGAGCAAAATGGTAGTGCTGTATAAATGCACCTCTGGAGCCTCTTAAATCAAGGTGGCTTTTATTTATGTAAACATTTCTGAACGCGCTTTGCAACCTTGTTGTGCAAGTCTGCTTGTGTTATTGTTACTGTGGGTACAATACCCAGTCCCAAAAATATATACTTACTTTCTTGGTCCATATTTAGCAGGAAATAAACCAATAAATCAATCTGCCTACCATTATGCAATGTGCCAAGGTTTATCTAGATTCAGAAATAATAATGATGATTATTTTCATATAAATTTCGCTAAATTGGGTCATCTATTTTTGGATCCACAAACTTTGGTAAATCCACACAATACAGGGAGCTTCTGGCCGTCTTGTGGGTCCCTGGAACAAAGGAAAAATGAAAGCAAGCGAATGCAGCTATAAACGTTTAGCCTTGTGCACTTAATCACACGTGTACTTCAGTCTAAATGAAAAGTAATGATGTGAGTTTCGACTACTTCTGTCACGTACTTTAAGATTTCATAGCTTGTAAACATTTCGAAAATAAAATTACTACAAATCAGACGTTGCATCTATGACATCACAGCAGGGTCTCACTTACTTACCACATGGCCAGATTGTTTGCTTTAGCTTTCGCCACGTTTAACGCTCCTTCTTTTGTCCTGGAAGAAAGATCCGAAGCTCGCTAAACCCACAGCCTTTTTCTTCTCCGCGTTAGCTTCAATGGCGTCAATATGGTGAGACACATTTGTCTAAAATAACTTTTACCGCTGTTGGAAGATAAGCACTTTCTTGGCATCAAAATGTGTCTAAAACTCACGAACATCAAATGTGAAATCCATGGCGCATAACAAACGGGATTAGAAAACAGCGTTTTAGCTTCGTTGACTTGCATTGATTCAACTCATTGACTTAGGCTCCCTATTATCCCAGGAGATAATTCTTTGAACAAGTGTCTTAGCAAAAGATGCACAGAATTAGTGAAGGTGAAATAATTTGCCCAAACATATTATTTCATATGAAGGGATCTTGGATAGAACTTAATTATGGACCATTCATCAGTTTAGCCTTCATGAATTTTCTCCCTGTTTTGCAGGAGGTGTTACTGAAGAGGGCGGCTGATCTCGTTGAAGCTCTTTATGGGATGCCCCACAACAATCAGGTCAGTATCTTCTTTAAACCGGTGTTGATCTTTGCTAATTGCTAAACAATTAAAATTGTTCTAATAATCTAACCATAAGGTGTAAGAAACATATCTGGAAAAAAAAAAAAAAACAGTCAGTGCAAATGGACTCAAAATGCACTCAGAATGCTTCAAACGTCTGCTTGGTTAAGAATTAGAAAAAAATAAAGTCTACCTTCTTTGTTGCCTCTCAGGAGATCATTCTGAAGAGGGCAGCTGACATTGCAGAGGCTCTGTACAGCGTTCCCCGCAACCACAACCAGATCCCCTCCCTCGCCAACACAGCCTCCCACGGCATGATGGGAGTCAACTCCTTCAGCAGCCAGCTAGCGGTCAATGTGTCCGAGTCACAAGGGAACGACCAAGGTGTGTGATTTCTGAGATTTTATACCGTAAAGGTTCTGAAAAGTGTGCTGCAGCAGAACTGTAGCTGGTCCTTGGAAGATTTCCCAGTGGCTTAGGATAAAAGGAAAAAGGCATTCCCCTTTATGTCATCAAGTCACAGAATTAACAGAAATCATTAAGACAGTGCAAGAGTCCAACTAATTTCTGTCTTTCCCTTTATAATAAACCAGCATACAGATTATTTCTTCATACTAAAGTACACCCATGATTATCTTGTTTACTAGTCATTGAAAATTTCCCTGAAAATAGTGAAGACAGAAATAAATGAATGAATGTCCCTGTCCATCTTCCACTTGGGTTATTCAGTGGGCTACAGTCGGAACACCAGCAGCGTGTCCCCTCGGGGCTACATCTCCAGCAGCACCCCGCAGCAGTCGAGCTACAACACCGTCAGCAACAGCATGAATGGCTACGGCAATGCCGGTATGAACCTGGGAGTGCCAAGCTCCCCTGGGTTCCTCAATGGATCCTCTGCCAACTCCCCATATGGAAGTAAGTAGCTTGCCACTCCTGCACACTGTAGAAGCACTAAGCTGCAGCTGATTTCATTCCAGCTCCCACATTCGTTTTCACTTCTAGGAATTATTCTTGACGGGGTTAGAACATTATTGATGGTAAAAGCATATAACAGCTCATTCACGAGGGCTTGTTTAGTTTCCATACTTCAGAGAACACACACACACACTTATTAGGGATACTTCACTATATGCCACCTGTATTTGTTCAGCCGGACAAGATGTTGATCACAGGGGCCTGTGAGTAGTGATCGAGTGTCCCCGTGGCAGTAACTCTATCCCGTTCTTACCTCAACTGCCCTCTCCCTCTCCAGCACGATCTTACTCTCGCCCTCCCTCCCTCTTGTCCCCCCTGTCGTCTCCGCAGTTAAACAAAAGAGCGCCTTCGCCCCTGTGGTCCGACCCCAGGCTTCCCCACCCCCCTCCTGCACCAGCGCCAACGGCAACGGACTGCAAGGTGAGCCCCCCTCACCCCCTCATCCCTTCCCTACGGACTACTGGTCAGATACCGCTGCTCAGGCCTCTGTCCGGTTTGGTGAGGGATTAATCATTACAAATATATGCATTTTGACAGGCCAATTTACACCTTTCAGTTTACATTCAAACACACACACACACTTCCACAGAGCATGCTCTTTCTCTCTCTCTCCCTCTCTTACACACTCACACACACACACACACACACACACACACACACACACACACACACACACACACACACACACACACGCACGCACACACACTAGTGTAGGATGGCATACATGCATCCTTGTTGCCCTTACATAAAAATGATCCGCTCTGATGTCGCAGGAAGAGACCATCGCTGAATTGTTTTAGTAATTATGTTTATTAGGTTTTGTGCATGTGTCATGACCAACATGATTGCATTGAAAACAAGCTTAGCTGTGGTGTGTGCCCCAAGATTAATAACACTGGGCCTAATGAAGTGGGAAATTAAAGTTCATCTTGCTACACGTTCATACTTATTAATACATGTTGTGCAGAAATTAATGAGCAATGCCTTGCCATCATCTGCGCTGGCAAACTTAAAAGCATTTCAAGCATGACTCTACAAATATACTCAGAGTAGTGCAATAATATATCATCCTAGCACTCCACTAATCGACTAATTGTTAAAACGTGTGAAAATACTGAATATATAATAGGGCGAGCTACAGTTGCTAATGATATCGCAAGCAGATGGTCTTGGTGAAATAACGGGAGCTACCTTTGATCTTGCCTAATCTCTCTTGGATAATGACAAAAAAGCACGACTTGCGGAATGTGGAAGCGCAGGACTAAAGTGCTGCTTGGCTTCAGAGAGTCAGGAATGTAAAGAAACGAGAGGAGAGGAGGGAAAGAAAGTGACAGGAATGAATCTGAGTGGAAGCTGAGGAGCGTCTAGTACTGTGGAATTGTGGCATTGTGGGAAGTGACCGTGTTGTTGCTCTGCCGTCACCACAGCTGGGTCTCCTGGGAGTCTGGGCCAGTGTTTGCCATTACCCCAACGCCAGGAGAAATATCACACATAGCAGGACTGGCGTGCTGAGGGCTGAAATGTCAGAGCAGGAGGGAGGTTTTTTTAAACTCTCCCCCGTTAGGAGGACATACAGCAGCAGGCTGGCGGACACAGCAAACACTCACAGGCTCATACGCAAACAGGCACATTAAGGCGCACATTCACACACTTTTGTCAGACAGCTGCACTCAAACAAACATGCACCAACACACGCATTACACACACATGCATGCACCAACTTTAGCAATTTTTCAATTTTATATCCATGTCTTGATTTTGCCAAATGAACTAATCTTTATTTCTCTGTCTTTGTTTTTCCCCTAGCCATGTCCGGCTTGGTTGTCCCTCCAATGTAAATGCACTTTTGTCATCTCAAGCACCAGTTGACACACTACCACTTCACAGGACACGCCCCCTCGCCCCCAAGCACACTGCAAAATGTTGGTGCATTGTATAGTCGACCGCTCGTCCGGAAGAAAAACGAGATTTTTCTTTTTAATGACTTTCACAACCTACAGAAAAATGGATTTCAAGAGGAACAATATTTTTTTTTTCTGTGGGATTTAATTTTTTTCTGTACTTTTCCCCCACCTTTTATCCCCCTTAAGGAGGACAAAGGACAATGAAGGGTTTATTTTGTATACCTGTTGAGCTGTGCTTCGGCCTCGGACCACAGTCAAAACTGGAAAGGACTCTGTGGACTCACCATCTGGTTGTAAAGTTAAGACACTGATGTACAGTACATTTGCCAACAAAGTCATTTGCCTCAGATTCTTCCTTTCTCTTTGGGTTTCAGCTCTCTTTTAATAGATTCACAGCAGCTGTGTGTCTTCATAATGTGACTTTTTTGTATTTTTACGTGTGACAAAATAACACCAGGGGCCAAGACAGTTCGAACTGGAAAATAATATGAAATATATCATTTAGAAAATGGATAAAATAAAAAAAAAAGTACAAACAAATACAAGTAAAAAGTGGGGAGGGGCTGGGCGGGCAATGTTGTACCATGTTTCATTCCTGCATTTTAACTTAAATTTTGTAATTTATTGTAGCTAGAAATCATCTTAAAAAGTAAAAAAATAAAAAAATAGAAACTTCTTTGACTCAACAAGCACACTGATGTGTACAAAACACTGCTCTGTTGATGAATATGATGTACTTCCACGTCTAGAGCTTCCTTTTAAGCAAGTGTGTTTTGCCATGTTTTTTCAACTTTTTTGCTAGCACTGTATATTAATGCATTCCTAGGCTACTGTGAAGTCTGTTTCTTGTTGATGAGGAGCAGTCTCCTTTTGGCTCCAACTCCCTTATGTGTTTTATATGTGGTTAAAAAAATTGTAGACTATTGTGATATTGCCAAACTTGTGCTAAATATTTATACATCTGTCTTTTTCATGTTCTTTTAGATCAACAAAAAACATAAAAAAAATTAAAATCCATTGAGAATGTAGAAAAGTAGTTCATTGTCACATTTTTGTTCAAATACACACTTGCGCTCACTGAAGGAAATTTTGTAACATATCAACTATAAATAATGTATTTATCTCTGAAATTTTGTATATTGCTTTTCATTATGTATGTATTAATCGTCATGCCCTTAATATAGTGATGCAGCACAGATAATTCAGCCAAGAACTGTTGCCTTCATTTGTTTTCTTTTTGTATTTGATGAAATGCAATGTGCATATATTTCATGTGTATCCTCAAAATTTGTGTTACACCGTCAAGACTCTCTGTCCATTTTTTTAAAAGGGAAGTCAAACTTCATTGTTTATTTTTATATTGATTTTAAATTATCTATACAGACCATTTTGGAGAAAACTTTGTTGGTTGTATTGTCAAATAAATTGTTTGTGACCCATATGATAGTTGTTAAGATCCAATAGAGACTAATGTGCATGAGGGACAAACTTGGAGATAAAAAAGGAAGAAAAGAGAAAAAAAAAAACCCAAACAAAACACTTCATTTGTGGTTGTATTTTTTCTGTTTTGTAGAATGTATAGAAGCCATTTTCAATCACCACTTACAACTCTGCCACATAGCTTAATGTGTTTACAGGGAAGAAAGTTTAAAAATGTCAACATTTGGAATGGAAACAGAAATGAATAAATGATGTTTTATTAAAATTTTCAGTAAAAAAAAAATACACACGACAGCTCCTCAACTGTGGACTTTCTTCAGTTCTAAGCACAGTTTGAATGGCAGACAAACTGACAATCAGAAACAAGAAGAGAGACAGTAGACACGTCTGGCGACGAACCTGTGATTCATCTGTAAGATGTAGTGTTTAGACATTGCTATGGAGATAATTGTTTGAAACCTGTGGAAAAGTGTAACATCCATAAAAAAGATGAAAACTGCTCTTTACTCATATTCTTTCAGCAAAGCTTTGTGACCCATTTCTATCGGTTTTTGTATGAGCACATCCTGCATCTGTGGAGCTTTAAAGGCTCATTGTAGTCGTTCATAAACAGTGCAAGCTTTTTATTCAAAGCACCTCAAATGGGGCTCATTCAAATCCCTCATTTCATTGCATTAAGCCACCTAGTTAATAAAGAATCAATACATTGAAAGAGCAAGGTTATCCTTTGTCTATAAGGGCTGGTATCGTTTTGAACCTCTTATAGTTTGAGTGCTGAAAGGGGGGCCACTGTGAAATCTATACTCATCAAGTGGGTCAAACAGAGGGATAGAAGCGTTTGAGGGAAGAACAGTGGTTCTCCTTAAAAACAACGGAGCGTCTTATCTGGCATCCTGAGTGGTCGCAGAGTGCAGGTCACAGAATGTCAATTTCTCATCAAGGCAACATTGTCCGAGGCCACGTCTGCCTTTAATGCACAATTAAATGACAGCAACCTGAGTGGCAATCAGCATATCGCAGCTTATTATGTCAGCCGGCATGCACAGATCTCATGGTGCAGAAGATAGCCCAGGAGCTGCTGATAGCGCAAAGGACAGATACACTGAAAGCAGCAATTTCATTTTCAGCCGCCTTGTGCTTCAAATCATTTCCCCGATAACCCCCGCATGTCCGATAACGACAGGCACACACCTGCTTCCTGACGTCGCATTATCCAACGCAGATATGCAACTCTGGCTACGGCCTGTTCCTTCCTCTTTAAAAAATAAAACACAATAAACTGCACGGACTTTGTTTTTATTAATATAAAAAGGAGACCGACTTGGGAGAGAATGAAAAATTACGAGGGTAAAAGTTGAACTGAGGGGGGGGGGATGACAAGTTAGCGCAGTTGTTGTGCGTTTTAAGAGCTGTGAAGCCTGCCAGGCAAGCTTGAGGTTCAGTATATATAGTCTCAGCAGGTTTCTCTGTACCCAACAAACAGCCACTAGCTCTGCCACACCATTCAATCATCGTGAGAGCCTCTTTTATTGGAGAACTCTAATGGCCACCCTCCACCATGATCTTAATGTGTGCATTAAATATTTATAAATCCTGGGTCAATAATGCCCCATAACCAGAGCCTGACAGACCCCCACCGTACCATGTGGCTGCCTCGCTCTCAAACACAGGCATAGGTCAGGGGGTCACACAATCAAAAGAGAGCAAGGCTTACCACGTCCATATGTTGCCACTCTTATCAAGACTTTCCTCAGTACTGGTTATCTGTCAGAGGAAAGAAATATTGAAAGCAATATCGATCTTAACTAGCCTTGTGTTGCCGAGGGCCACTCTTCAAACATCTGCTCGTGCATTGTTATATTTCAAAAAAAGGTTTAAAAAAAAGTCCTCTCAATTTTTTAAGCCCGAGTCGTAACATTGAACATCTCTGCGTGACGCAGGCACTCCGGGTATGACGAATAACCGCGTTTATTAAGAAGCAGCACAGGAGGATTTTAAAGTTTTAAGTATTTCTTCATCAGTGTCGGGTTAATTGTGCCGCTTGGCGTCTGTGAGGGTGACTTGCCTCTTTTTATTTTTTTGTTTGTCTTCTTTAGCGTGACCACATCTAAACTGCGCTCCTGTGCTGTTCAGGTGAAAGATTGTGCTCCGGTGATAGCGTACACAAAAGAGCGGCCGGACAATGAGCCAGTCAATGGAGAGCTCCAGTTGAAAGCGCCACAATGGCTGAGCATGCTGGGAATTGGGCTGGATGGTATAAAGGAATGAAACCTTCATTGAGGCCATGGAGGACAAGCATTCAGAAAAGAGGTTTTGTTTGCTCTTTATCAATCTGTGGTTTCCCATGAGAAAAAACAATTCAGACTGACCTTAAAACGAGAATATACATTACCTTGCGCATCCTCTTCCGGTATAGGCCTCGATTAGAGACTTTCGCGTTCACGCAATACGACATTATCGCATACGGAGATAGGGTGCAAAATTAAGAGGTGGACGGTAGTTTATCTCGCCTGCCCAATGGGCAGTGCTGAGAAGCATTTTTCAAGGATTTGCTCTTTGACAGAGGATTTGTGTAACTGCTGAGCGAAGAAAATTAAAAAGTGGCTCAAACTCTCCAGAAGTTTATTGACAAGAAGGAAAAGGCTTTTGTAAAAACTGCTCTGGAAGAAATCACATTTTTAGGATAAATCAAATAGGGCGTGTAACCTTTTTTTTTCCCAGGATTTGAATTAAAACAGGGAATTTGCCCTCCTCCCATTTTACTAAACAGTCCCCATTTAGCAGAGCCTCCTGTCTGCGACTCCACACACCAGATAAGACAACGCTCCCCTGTTGCTGTACACTGGGAGTCGGCTTTGCAAGGAAAAACTTGTGACAGTGGAAATCTTACTGATACATGCAAAGATTTCCACTTCACTCGCTGCAGTCAAGAAGGATGAGCCAAGTATCCCAGTGCTTCGGCAACCATTAAACTTGTATTTGGGTGTCATTTGATACCTCATCAATGTTTCAGCACTTTTCAGACCCCAAAAAGGGGAGAATTTACCCCTGGTAGAATTACATTGCTCTCCGTGTTTTCCTTCCATATAAACTTCACTTAGCTCTAAAATTACAGCGCTAGGATTGTGAGGTAAGAGCGCGGAGGGCTGCAGTGATAAAATAATATCGCTTAAGCTGTATTTTCTGCCACAGCCTCCACCATATAGAGCTCCTTTCATAGTAGTCCTCTGTAGTGCTTTGTCCAGTACTTCTGGATATGATATCATCTATTAATAATGTATTGGCAATGGATTACATAAAAAAGGGAGCAGAAATAACATCCAATATTCATGCCCCCTGAGCTTGAGTGTGTCCAATCCGTTTGGCCCATAAAACCTTAGCCCCATTTCCATATCCGCTGTGGGTCACAACAGGTCTGCCGCACAAAGGCTCACAGAAAAGCTCAACTCAGGAAAAGGGCAGTAAAAATTGGGTGGATTTCTGAACCCTTATGAAACAGCCCTCCTTCGGAAAAAAGAAGAAAAAAAAAACGTGAAAAAGCCCTTTTCCGATTTCAGCGCCTGTGAAAAACCTGTTACTGTATTTCCCTCTTTAATTGTGCCACTTGAGAAATTGACGTGCCTCTGAAACATGGCATGAATCTCGCAGTTATTGCAGTCCCCTTGGCAGGGAATGTTGATACAACATCTGCATGCTATAGAAAGTAATGGAAGTAGCAGAGGTGGCAGCTGCAACTCTACAGGAAGTGTGCCATTTTCAGACAGCGCTGCTGTGAGAGCCACTAACTGCCAGCCTGGTCTTGCAGGCGGCTCTGATTGCCAGGACACTATGACAAACACGCAGGGGCTGGGAGTGTTGCATCCTGGGGGATGACAGCTTCTGTTTGATTGTCAATAAGGCTCATTAGCAGAAAAAATGGAGAATGCGAAAAAGAGATTAAATGTCTTGCAACCGGGTCCCCCTCATGTTTTACTACAGAGCATTTATCAGTGCCTTTATGTCATCAATCGCACAAAACAAATCACTGCTTCTCCTCAAGTGACAAAACTGCCGAAAAGTCTGCTTTTTCCAGCCAACGTGAATCCAACATCAGCCACACCTTACGGAAACCTCCCCCCCGCTCTGGGCAGACCTCATTTTAAGAACAGTGGCGGATGTTTCCCTCCATCTTGGGGAGGAACGGCCAACAAAGCAGCGTGTAAGGGCCTTTCCCTGAAGAGTCCTTGTCACGCGGCGCCAAACCTCTGTGATTATCGTTGTTTTTGCAGAGAGTGTCCACGCCTGCCAATACCGCTGTTCCATAAATGAATTTGGCCCCTCGTCAGCGAATTACCTAACACGCAGAACTGTGTATGTGTCACATCCAATTCCAACTCACCGGTTTTGGTGGTGTGTGTCAGCTGGAGGACTTAATCATCAATCGTCAATCATAATAAGCGAAGCACATTGATAGGGGTAGTGGTATGTTTTTTTTCCGTCTCCTACACAGTTAAATAAAGTGTAAAGGGAGAAGTTAAAAATGACCTTGTGAAATGGGGACCACGATTTATATTCCTAATTTAGTGTATGGATTAATTATTCTTGGCGGGTGTGGGGATCAGTTTCCATGTAGCAGAGCTTTGGAGTTCTATCCACTTGATGAAATCATTCCTCCCTTTCACAAGGAAACTCTGGAATGATATCCATCGGTCACATTTTGATGTTTTCACTCAGAACCAGCTCTGCATATTTTTAGAAGCAAACTTTTAATTAATTCTTAATTGGTCAGTTTGTAAAAAGAGGGACTTTTCAAGCATTAGTCGCTAATTTATTACCCTCCATCTCACATCATACAAAATTAATCACAATGACCTGGTATCAGGCCGTCATGCAGCCACTCACACACATTACATGCTTTGGCCAAGTGTGTGTTTTGCACAAGGAATCTGGCTCATATTTTCCCTCAGCCTGATCCATTGCACTCCTCTCTCCCGTCATATAGATCGGAGTCTGCAGGGGCCAGAGGCGCTGACAGAGCCCAGATGCTCCCAGTCTGTCTGGGGGACTGGGGAGACTGGTGCCATGGGGTCCTGGAGCCTCTGAAGTGCCGCCCCTCCATCAACGTGACCAAGGCTAGACCTGCACTTTCTCCAGGCTGAGACATTCTCCTCGCTACGCTGACAAACTGCACTGCACAGTCACAGATTGATACATGCACGGATACACACTCAGAGGTAATCGCTCCCCTGTAATGTATGACCATTCATCAGCCGGTCTTAATTAGAGACCCCCAAGACCAGTGCCTGAGTTCACGGGGTTACAATGACACGCACACGCTATACACACACAAATGTAGTACAGTCCTCACTTTATCTTTCTTATCACAACCGTCTTCAACCAACTGATGTCCAAGGAAACCTCTTTGTCCTAAAGAAACAAACTGGGGGGGGGGGGGGGGGGGGCACCAGAAGAATCCCATGCCCCCCTGCTCTCTCTTTAAAACACAAAGATCATTGCAAGAGCACCAAAGTATGCCATGTTTGAAATGATCATTGTCTTTGTAGTAGTGGCGGAGCATGGAGTGTGTTGGTATTAGATGCTGCTGTGGCAGCTGTCGTGGCTGGCTGTGCGGTGCCTCGGTGTCAGGGCCTCCGAGAGAAGGCTGTCCCGGCAGACAGAGGGGGAGGAAACCTGATACAGCAGCCAAAACCCAGTCTAATGTCTGTATATGCAGCTATCTATTCCTGTGCCTATCTGTCTGTCTGCTGGCTGGCTGTTGGACGTTGCCTATCTCTTTGCTGGATACTCCTCTGGCTCCCCAACAACAGCAGCACGCCGCTTTGAGATGAGTTCAGTACGCTCCAGAAAGTTGCCATTTTTACTTATTTTAAGCAACTTCTCAGGAAGAATAAAAGTAGGCATTTATGAACTGGGATACATTCTGCAGAGTCCCCCGTTAAGCTCTCGATTCGCTCCAAAGGGTGCAGGTTGAGATAACGGTAGAATTATGAGCCGACACATATGAAGAGAAGGAGATGGAAGTGCGGAGTGTGTTTGTGTTTGATGTGGGGGCAGAAAATTGTTCCATAATGAGGAGGGGTGCCAGGATATGAGATGGGAAGCAGGGAGTTGGAGACAGGATATAAGTTATGAGAAGGAAACTAATGTTAGGAAATGCAGAGGCAGTTGTTGTAAGCTAAAATGTATCTTACCACTATTGGCCATGATTAATACAGCCAGGCCAGGTCAAAGCCCTGCGCTAACGCTGCGGATGCCACCAACCGCATCCCCACACTTTCTGGGGCTCAAATGAGTGTGTGTGTGTGAGAGAGAGAGAGGGAGTGAGAGAGCGCGTGTGTGTGAGGGGGTTAATAAATGTTGAATCAAACGCCGCACGAGACACTCACACTCCTTAAGGGTTGCCCATTAGCGGTGTGTGGGTGCATGGGGAGTTTATCAGTGTCTGGGTGATTTATGAAGTCAGACTCAATATCATCCACTTCACCCACACACATATGGACATACACATGTGCACACACCAGCATGCGTGGCCACGTTCTCACGCACTCACGTGCACAAAGGCACACACACGCACTCATATAGTCTTTTTGTGAGATGGAGGCAGACAAAAATGAAAGGTTTCACAAAGATTAACAGTGTGGCCGATGAGATTGTCTCAGTGTCTTTTCATCTCATTTTGTTTCATCTTCGGGCCAGCTTCGTAGAAAAGTGGACTTTTATGGTGAAAAAGACAAAAAAGGGTGAAAAATCACAACACTTGTGCTAAATGTGACGATAAAATGCAGTCAAAATGTGAAAGAAACTAAGACAAGGATGTGATTTTTGTTTAGGGGGACTCCATCAGTACCTTCATGAATTACACAGCCAACTACTAGCAACATGCTCGATGCTTTGATGCTGGACTTGGTTTAAAAACATCAACCACCAGATCTCAAAAGGCATCAGTAGCTCTGGTTGCTAAATTCGTGGCATTCCATAGAATTTACTTGGCCACAAGCAAAAAAGGAGGGTGCTTACAGTGCACTTCAGAGTGCGCCTGGCTTAAATGGGACCCCTTGTGGCTGTGTCACAGCTCCCTTCGTTAGGGGGCTGACTGTAGCCTGTAGTCACCACAGGCATCATTAGCCCTCTGTGAAACCACAGACTGAGTCCCATTCTTCATCTGCCTGTCTGCTGCCTCAACATTTACGCTGCGATGCCGCTCCAATGGCAGAGCGAGTGAGTCCAGCAGCAGCACAGAGAGGCAGCCACACAAAACTGGGCAGATAAGAAATTCAGAAATGCAGCAAAGTTCAAATATATTCAGCAGGCAGGCCAGCTGAATTGGTTTAGTAAAGGTTAGAGCTGAGGTTATTGTTGGAGGGTGCATAATTAGGCTACCTGAGCTGAAGGAGGACGACTAACTATCTAAAGTTTGGGTCAAGACGGACAAGAAAACCAAGAATTTGGGGTTTAAAACTAAAAAGTGCCACTAAAACAAAACCCTGGCGAGGAAAATGTCAAAAAAAAAAAAAAACCAACAAAAAAATCAAAGTTATGAATATTTTTTGCAGTCAGAGTAACTGTTTTCTCTAAATATGCACAAGCACTGCTGCCACCACCATATGCTCTTTTTAAGGAAAAAAATAATAATTTACCCCGAAGGGATTAAACGGGGTTGTGATGAAAATAAAACAACACATAAACATTTAAATTACAGATTAAATGTGCAGCATGAATTCAAGGTTGAAATGTTGATTCCTGTTTCCCGTTCTGCACTGCCCTCTAATGGAAAACCCCACTCAGACATAAAAACGCTCTGACAAATCAGCCTGCTGCACGGGGAAAAGGCACCCGGCGTAATTAATTATGAGTGCAATTCATATGAAATCAGTGTGGAAATTAAACACGGCTTAAGTGATGAAAAGCCAAGATTTTGTCATTTGTGAGATAAAATATTTATTTAAAGAAGAATGCAACTAAAGTAGAGTATACAGTCAAGCATCTCCTCTTTAGGTGGATAATAAGAGAAGAGTAAACAATGAGATGTAAACGAAGACAAAGCAAATGCTTCACTACAAAGCTTTGTAGCCATAAAACTCAGAGCCTTTATCGCTGGATGTTGAACAAAGCATTTACTTGGCAGGAAATTAAAAAAACAACGAGAGGTACAAAGACTAATTCTGCTAAGGAAAAAAAAAACAACAACAACAATGCAAGAGACATATTTTTAAGGGAATAATAATTATTCTTTAGAAAAACCATTCCAGCACTATCTGGCAAATGCAACAGAGACCCACGGGAGCATATGCTTGTAATTCCTACGGTTCTCTGTTTAAGTTATTTTTGTATGTTCTAATTCTGCAACAACTCTGCATCACATTAACGATGCAGCAGCTCTATTCTTAGGTTAAAAAAAGGAGTAAAGTGAATATTTACAAGTAATTGCAGTTGTTTCAAGCATGTCTAACTTTAGGCGCTTGTTTTGTGGGATGTTTTTTTTACATATTTAAGAGGAAAATACAGTCTGTGTGTGTGTGTGTGTGTTGCATGAAGAACAGTCAGGCTCTGTCATGCTTCAGCCTTCCCTCTCTGTGTCTCATGGGTGAGCAGCCATTGTTTGAGATGGTCGCCCTTGCCGCTCATGTACGGCCCACTCTGTCCAGAGCTGGAAATTACCCGGTGACAGGGAATGAGGAGAGGAACCTGGCACAGACGGACAAAGAGAGAGGAGTGACGCTCTGAGGAAAGAGGCATGCACTTTCTGACAACTGTTTGCAACACTCTTAGATGCAACCGAACTTTTCAAAAAACGGAATTCTTTTTTAAAAAATGAATTAATGAATAAAATAAAGAAAGCGGCATTTCGATTTTTTAAATGAAAGAAATATAAAAATGCTGTTTAAATACAAACCGAAGCAGCTTTTCGCAACAACTTGATGTTTAATGTCACTTCAAATCTAGCTGAAAGTCGATGAAAGTAGGTTTGTGTTATGCATAAAGGGAAACCCGATTTACCTCGTAAACGACGTGCCTTTAAAGTCACCAACATGCAGACGTGTGAGCTGCACCCTTATTTTATTTATTTCTGCACTTTTCATGTTCTCGCACGGCATGAAAACAAAGTGCCACACCAGAGGTATTTGGTTTGATCCTGCACAAATCCACATTCAGGGTGATGGTTCAGTCTTTGGATATAAATGTTTTTTTACTCTTTAATAGTGAAAGCAAAGAAGCAATCAAAAATTAATAGGCAAAAACACCAGCTGGATGAATATTCAATCGAGGGGGTGTCAACATTAAGATCTGATAACCCTGTGATCATTAAAAAGAGGAAGTCGGTGGAGCGTTTACTCCTGTTGCAGACGACTGCCAGGGGGGTCCCGGCTTCTTTGTAAACTAAATGGCTGGAGAAAGATTAAACAAGCAAGCCAAAAACACTTCCATCATTGTGAATTCAGACTGAGCAAGAAAAGGTAGTAATGGTTGGAGTGAAGCGCTGCACCGTCGTTTCTTCTTGTTACTAACATGAAAAACAAGGAAAAACCCAAAACATCCCGGCCACTGCTGCTCTGTGATCGCCTTTCGCCAATTTAGTCAACCTGTTGGCCGAATTGATGGTTCCAGCCTTTCATATGAAAGTTGGACAAGCAGAGTGTTTCAGTTAAAATCCATCATTAAACCCTCTTCCACATCAACAGCCATAAAACTTTCTGAGCCCCAGATTAACCTTGCAGACTGAGAAATACTGCTCGCGTATTCGGATCGATACTGTTCCCCGGGTTTGGAGGGAGAGCAGGGTACCCTCAAGGCCTTCGGATCTGCCTCTGCACATAGGGGGAAAAGAGCACTACACCAGGCTTATCAATACTCAAATGCTGGTGAAGAAGAAGTGCCACAGAGAGGCGAGGATCGATTGAGCACACTGAGCTTTTCACAGCTGAAGCCCGAGTGGAGCAGTGCTCCTGACAAGTAATTGACACTGACAATCTGACTCTGGATCTGAATCAGGAGCTAAGGGCTCAGGCTCCCAGCCTCACTGAAGAAAGGAAAGAAATGTCTGTAAAACAAGACCATTTTACAGCCATCTGGCAGCGATGCCACTGGCTAATGTAATGTATAAAGTACACAGAAAATGTATTGCAGTGAGATAAAAAAAAAACCTAAATGTCCCATTTTTATCCCTAATCCTGACAGAAATCCGACTAAAGACAAATTAATCTTTGTTCAACTTTGATCGGAAGCGGTGTCGGAGGGCAGAAACTGGCATGAGGATTGAACACGTATTATTTCATACAACATATAAAGGAGAACATGCGGATGGGTGCAGAAGAAGGAGCGCTCTCTGCCTCCACCGAGCTCACCGGTGGTGCCCACAGCACTACATGGGCCGAGTTAAACAGGCTTTGATCAAAGGGTTTGATCAAAAGGAGACACGCCGCTTGCCCTCTAGCCTTCCATTTTGTACACAGTGGATTCACGGGCAACACGATGCAGACCAGGTTTCCTACAAGAGTCGGAGATTTGCGGTGAACGTCTACAGTAAAGACATGAGAGAAGAGTGTGCTTAAAATCGTGCTGTAGGTAGCGTTTTACTCCTCAGCTGATCTCAGAGGGAGGCGCTGATTTCACTGCTGCATATACGGAGCACACCTACGGTTTAGATTACACATTCTGCTCTGGGAAAAACACTTCAGTGTCTGTTTTAATGGAAAACTCCAGTAGTGGGTACAGATAGTTTTAGGAAAACGTCTTTAAAAGAAAAACTGAAACAACAAAGAAAGGCTGGAGTATACACATCACGTATCAGCATCATTCTCAGGTTAAAGGTTGGAAACACATATTTGCATATATTATATGAATTATGCAAAGTGCTGTATGTTAAAATGCATCAACAAAAAACATATACAGTATGCCTCCATTATTGATTTTGTTGTATTATTTTATTTACTTACTATTATGGGTAACGCGATATATCGGTTGGTCGACATTTACCAATGTCAATAAAACAGCAATGATTTAAAGTCAGGCACATCCTCGGGCAGCCCGGTGCTGTTATTTAATGTAATGTAATAACATCTGCATTATCAATGATCTAAAAATGGTTTTAAACAAAAAAAAAGTTTATTTACCAGTTTTGAATACTTAATACTTTGTCAGTTTACTGATTTGTTTGACTAACTTTAATTTAGGTGTCGGACTTTGACACGGAGCAGTGCCCAAAATAAAAATGTAGTTAAACTCAGATTCACCTTCAGAAAGTTTGTACATCAACTGATGTTATTTGTGACATTTTGTCATGCAAATAAAGTTGAAAACATCTATATATCAATATCGAAACCGGCAGTCGATATCCGACATCGGTATCGGCAATAGGAAAAAAATATCGGTCCACCTCTACTTACCATTTATAAACAGAATTGTGAAATAAAGCGTTGAACTTATCCTTTTTCATTTAATGTACTGCAGCTGACTTAGTATATTGTTTAAAAGAGACAATTTTATGAAAGTAAATCAAAATTTTTTATTTATTTTTAACAAAATACAAAGAGAGACACTGAAGCACAGTGTTCTTTTAAAATGTAATTAGTTAGTTACTGATTACTTTGTCAAAAAAGTAGCTCAGTTACTGAGTTACAAGATTATATAAGTAACTAATTACCAAGAAAAATAACTACTTCGTTACTTTGTTTCTTTAAAGAATGCAATAAAAATGGGTTCTCCTCTTAATTAAACTTACCTAATTAATTTTAAATTGCTACAATAGTGAATATAAATGAGTAATGACTGGAACATAATAAAATGTATGTCCAAATGCATTTTATAAAACTGAATAATTGGAATAAATGAGCAATTGACAGGAGGAATTACACAGTATTCAAATTTTTCCAGCTTCACATAATTGTGTGTTTTTAGTAGCATTTCTGCTGCTGGTAATCTAGTAATGGTTAAATAAATAAATAAAAAATATTTAAAGTGACACTAGAAGAGGCATAAATCTGATGGTCTACTTACTAACTTGGGTCAGACCCAAACACAGGCGAGCTGCACCTGGGTGGTGAAGACACACGGGTAGTTCTAATAACACCTGAGCACCCATGACGCCTGAGACTGATGCATCAGTGTTACAGCGGGACTAAAGAAATTATTGGTTCGATGATCTAGGAAGGTAGAAGATCGTGACGTCTGAGCGGCGAACAGGAGAGCGAACCTTCAGGACGTCTCGCTGTCACGCCAAGAAGGGCACGGCTGCAGATCCACACCTGCAGTAGTGAATCTGCTGGTCTGCAGCTGTGGACTGTTCATCACGTCTTCCTCGTTCCTCGCGGGCCGTGATGCGCTAGGATGAAAACATCCGCCTCTTTAGCCCCATATCAGCCGATGACGGCTTCAACACACCGTGTTGCTGAATTAGTGACGTGCACATTTTCTTATCAGTAACAGAAACGGCGTTATGATAAAAGAAGATGGTAATCAGATTGCTTGTTACTTAAAGAACAATTTTTTTTAGTAACGCCGTTATTTTAAATGGCATTATTCCCATCACTGCTGAAACAATCAACATATTGAAGTAACTAGTTTAAAAAATCTGTTTGTTTTATACAAACAGCTCGGTTTTTCCTATTGGGATAATTTAAAGGGCCACATTTAAAACTGTTTGTTATGTAACACACACACACACACACACACACACACACACACACACACACACACACACACACACACACACACACACACACACACACACACACACACACACACACACAACACTTCTCTTTCCAATAAAAAGATCCACTATAAAATGCTATTACTCTCTCTTTCTAGAGGAATAAAGTGAGTACAGACAGAAGCCTGTCAATCACTGTCAGCCACACTCACCGGGTTCTTCCTCATAGCCCCTCCCACAGCCCGCACCGCTCTGGGGTTTCCCGCCATCTCAGCGAGGCGTTTGTACGAGACGGTCTCTCCAAACTTCACGTTCTTCAGAAGGAGATGCAACACGCGGCTGGTGAACGCATCTTCGCCACATAGAAGAGGACAGAGAGAGAATGAGAAGACAGGGGAAAAAAAAGGTTTAATCTATCAAACTAAGACAGTTGATGGGGACTCGGGTGACACAAGGATTCTCTGAACAGGAATTCTGCTCAAAAAATTAGCTGAAGTTTTCAAATCTAAATTAAAAGTGTTAGGCAACACCATGTTGCATACAATTCACGTTCTACGTTCATCCTCCCTCCCCCACACTCATTAAAATAACTAAATACATTGAAGTCCCCCACTTTGACCTTAGAACCAGTATTAACATGCTACACAAGCTGATGTGAGCAAATTATTCCTATGGCAGAAAAATCTAGGTTATGCTTCGGAAAGGTCACAGCTAAAATTAAAAAAGTTCGCTCCTTCATTTAAAAGGATTAAGAGAGGCCAAAACGACTGCAAATCTGCTCCAGATTTTTAATAATAATAATTTGAATGTTGCAAACCATTTGTGGCAGAGGGATGACTTTGAGGTTAATCAGACCAATTTGTCCTTTTAATTGCTTTCTATTCAGAGTAGATTCATTATATCATCTTCACTTAAACGACGGAATTCTTCAAATCATCCTCAGCTTAACCGACCATATTAACAGCTTTGATTTCATTAGCACTTTAGCAGTAGCATTATCATTTTTGCTGGATTACCAGACAGTGAGAGAGAGGCGTGTTTGTCTAGCTCTGACTGCTGTAAAAAAAAAGGAGTATTTGAAGCATCTTGAAGCCCTGAGACACTGATGCACTGAGCTCGTGTAGCGCATGAAAAACATATTTTTTTGCTCGTAGGACAAGATGAGGAACAATAGTCTCGTTATCAAGACTTGGTGAAATTCTCCAAGTTTATACGTGTACTCAGTCATGAAAATTCAATTAGTGATCTCCCATTCTCTCTCATTTAGATGGTCTAAGAGAGCACATGACAACTGATCTATGTGAAATCCCTCTAAATTGGCATTGTGTGAAAACATGTCACACCACTGTCTCTCTTCTACAGAGTGAACATCCTTTGCTCCCCAGGCTCCCTTGCTACCTTATAGTCACTCTCTGCTACACAAAGCCACGCGAACAAGGCAATTTGCCTAAACTGGGGGGAATAAGTGTAAAACCTAAAGGGGATACGTTTGATTGATGCACACCCATGTGAGTTCTTTGTCTTGAACAAGGCCCGTAGGTACTGTTTAATAATTTTTCAGGTAATAATAACGCTGTCAACGAGCTGACGGGCTCTTATGCAGACAGCCTTAATGTTAGGAGGAGATAAGATACACCCCGAAAATTTCTTTTATGCATCACTCTCCCTCCTGAAGCTCAGGTTTGGCCCGGTGATGTGCGCGGTACATGTTGATATCGCTTTGTCACTGATGAGTAGATGTCCAGAGTGAGCTGATGACAAATCCCTACTGATGCAAACGCTATTGACAAACTCCCAACGTTTGACCCACGCCGGCACAGCGAGCAACAAGCTGCAACACTCTCTGCACACCTACTAACTCCTGCTTCTTCTGGATGCTTTACGTCTCCTGCAGTTCTGGGTAAAAAAACAAGTGTCGGCACTTTTGCCCTCATCAGAGGCCGTGACAGACACTTCACGCGGGTCGCTCAAGGTGACCAGCACTGATTTGGAGAGCAGTCCCCCAGCCCCTTACTTCATAAACGGCCTAATACGGTGTGTCTGAGGTCAGGACCCTCTTTAGATCGGGGTGCAGTGGTGTCAATTGTTTAAATAAAACTTGAGGGGAACCACTTACATGTTTACCGACGTCCCAGAATTATGTCACAGGTCGTTACCTACCATAAGGCCAGGTGATAGGGCTGCAGCAGAGGTAGTGATAGATTTACCCCTAGAAAATCGAACGCATCTAGTGATTATGAGGCTATTGACAGATATGATTGATTTGCTCATAATTTTGTATAGAAGAGCAATTTCAAAGGCGGGGGGAAAAAAGAACCCGGTAAACTGATTTCCATCAGCCCTGCTAACGGTAGATTTGAAGAGACGACCTCCAGCTGACAGTCACCTCTCGCGTGGTTGTGAAGGTATAAAGACAATAGTAGAAATGCAGCCACCTCATTATCCTTTGTGTCTAATGGGAGGGAAGACTTTGACTCTCAGTCAAAGTGTCTCTCGAGTCTTGAGGGATCCATACTTTTGAAGGCTGACGGGGTGCTGATGATTCTCTGATTATTCGATATTCTGAAAACGTTCATTTCCCTAATTCCTCTCCACATCACAGGGGCGAGTCCTGGTGAGTGTCTCATCTCGCCCTGCGCTGTGCACAGGGGGAGGTTCAGGCTCCTGCAGGAACACAGTCATTTGGGCTTTGAAGAGCGCCCTTCCCCCCTTCGCCTGGCTCCCTCCCCACACATTCCCCGCGCCGCTTACCGAGACTAAGATCCTCTCGTCTGTTACATATGGATGTATAATTAATGAGATAAGAATATGCATCGTTTTAAGAACCCACGTTGGCGTCTGTGTTTTTCTGAGGGAATGACTGCAAGCGTGCACACACACACACACACACGCACACACACACACACACACACACACTCACGCACACATACACACACACGCACACATGCACGCACGCACACACACACACACTCACAGTATTTCTTTACCCCTGTTGGCCAAACTGGTGTGTGATGTTGTGCGAGACAGTCAGACGCTATAGAAAACTGTGCCTCGCATCTCCTTTCATGTCACCTCGGTTTCTCAGGTATGTCATGACAGCTAATATGAAAAGTGGCTTGTTTTGTCAGAAATGTGTAAATAAACATGGCAACACTTCAAGTGAAGGTCACAACTCAATATTACATGACAACTGCTGCGAGAGCGCTGTCGCGCTCAGGTTCTCCCCGAAGATAACTGAGCAAACAAAAGTTGGTTGTCACAGATCGTAATGACCTGATTAAACTTGTTTTTTTCCCCTCTTCTTCCTTTTCTGACTAACGGCGTCAGCATGACTCGATCGGGGATGAATTTGTACCACAAAAAAAAGCTACATTTAATCGCGGAAATTTGTAAATCAGCAAACAAGAAAAGAAGAGAGAGAGGGGGGGGGAGAGACCCCTTCTTTTTTCTTTCCACAACAGACAAATACTCCTGATGCCCACATTTAACATTTTTATACTGGTTTGGCCTGTGGTTCTGACTACTGAGAGCAATCCAAGCCTAAAGCCTGTATTTACGGAGCCCCAAAACAAAAGACGAGGGAAAGAGGTGGAACACAGCACAATCACCTATTCAGATCAGGTACTAATGAAGAATTCCATCTATCCTGAAATTTAATTAAAACCCCAAAGACTTCAGATGAGATGCGATTTGAAAGAGCCTGGGGCTGGTACACAAGCACTTGGTGGCGGAGGGAATCACACTGAAAGTTGATATCGTAATTGGTCCTGATGTATTTCTGCATTGCCTTTGCAGGAGCGTGGGACTCTTAGCTGTATACAGGGTCTCGATGGAGTACCTGCTCATTGAAAATGCCATCACTCAAGCACTGCAGATCTGCATGAAATTAGAGAGCAGCTAAGGCCTGATTGCAGGGGAAGGGAGGCACAATTGTTAAACGCATATATTAAAGCTACTTTTTTCCTGTGCCCTTGTGGGGTTAAATAAGCTCGTCCAAAAATTCTTTAAGTTATAATGCAACGTGCATCTCAGTGTGCCAGAAGTTTTCTGTAATTGTTTTAAAAAGCTGCGACGATTTGTGTCTAGGATTTCGAAAACGAGATTGTCAGATTCCTGTATTGTTTAGCGTCGTCAGATAATCAATTCCCCCTCTTTTTTTGTTTATTTTTTCCCCTCGGCTCCCTGAATTATTACATCTTGAAGTGAACGGACTCTAATCGACCGTTTTTGGGGCATTTTCCTTTTTACTCACCAAAGGTGCCAACAATAAGCTCATTCAAACTCTACCCCCATTCACATGTTCTCATTACAAAAAAGTCAAAAGAAAGAAAAAGAAAATAAAAGAAAGCTTCCTGTCTGAAAATGTCAAGAGTGGAATTCGATCAGTTTCAAAGAATGTGCCAAGAATCATGAAAAAGCTTGCCAAGACTAACACGCGTGGTAAGAGCTGCCACAGATTACTGAACCAAGTTACAGCTCTGTGTTCTGTTCTCTCCCCGCCGCTCACACACCACCCACTTTTCCTCCACTCTCCCTCTCAGCCATAAAATACTTCATTATAACACAGTGAGCCAGTGAGTGTAAGTGATGTAACTGACAATTAAGAGTGAATGCCTGATCCCAGTCATGGCTCTGCAAATATTTATCCATGACAGACCTCCTTGCAGGGCGGGGTGGTGAAAGGCAGGGAGCGGGAGACTCCCAGTGGTCTGCGGCTCACTGAAGTACGCCTGGAGCCATTCAACGCAGCGCTGCATCTCGGGGCTCGTTTCTGCCGGGCTGTCGTTGACCACACAGCTCAGGGGGGCCCCGCTGCTCCTGTGAGGGATGTGAGGCGGGATGGGGAAGCAAGAAGGGGATCAGAGGAGCAATCATAATACCCAGTTCCTGGTTGAACAGTACTAAAAAATGTCACCAGAGTGCAATAACATGTGACACAGATGTAAGATGGCATAATTTGCAGAATAAAACTTAAGCTGTTAATCGAGACGTGGTTAAACTCTAAAGTTCTGCATGAATAGAGGTTTCTCCAGACTTTCTCCTCTACCGGGACCGCAAACGTGAAGGAAAGCAGCATTAAGGAATCTAGGTGTATTCTACAATGGTTTTATCTAAGGGTAGACTGACATATCGGGCCAATATTTACTGTTTTTTATACATCGGCCGATAATTGTTGTAAGCAAAGCCGATTTAAAGTCAGACGCATCGTCGGGCAGCCTGGTGCTGATGCTAGATTGTATTTAAGTGCATTTTTAGGTCTACTAATAACATCAGCATAATAATAAAAGAGTGTCTGACTTCAACACTGAGCTGTGCACACAGTTAAGATTCAACAATTAGTTAAATTCAGAGTTCAAAAACCAATTCAGCTTCAGACATTGTGTGCATCAACTGATGTTTTAGTGACATTTTAGCATGAAAATAAGGTAGGAGATGTTTAGATACCAGCCATGAAAATGGGTCCCTAAAAAATCCACAGTACATATCGGCCATCGGTTGACCGTGTCTCAGACACATCAGTGCTCTAGTTTTGTATAAAGTGCAGAGAGATTAAAAAAAAAATAGAAAAACGAGACGAAAAGCAGGGCGCTCGCTTTGTGAAGTGTGTTTTTCAAAAGCAACAACCAGAAGAGTTTTTAGAAGTAGTCGACAAAAAGTTAAGAGCACATCTTCAACTCTGCTTGGGTTTAGTTTAGAGTTCAAGACAAGAATAAATGGATGTTTTCTTGGCCAGAGCGATGCTGGCCAGCAACGTGCCGCGCTTGGACGTGCATCTTAGCATGAGAAGATGCTTGGAGGAATTTGCCGATGGTTGAGTTGGCATCACTTAACTGTTGAGGTTCTCTCTGCTGCTGACCACCCCCCAGGTCAACGCAAGCAGGCTGACCCATATTTGACACTTAAAGACCCTACTGGGAAGGTCCTCTCTTAGCATGTGCATTACTCCAAAGTGGACCTCAAGCTGTGTTGCGGATTCTAAAGCAGGCTGCCAATTCCATTAGCTGGTGTACAGGAGTTATAAATAAATAATACCAACCATTTAAGTGCCCCTTTTTCAAAATTGGCTTATCCTGTATGGTATTAATAATAGACATTTACTTTGTTAAACACAAAGCCCGTCTCTCTCCTGGCCGCGGGAACAACACGGCCCTAAAGTGTTTTTACACTTCTGCAGGTCACAGTTTGAGCAGCGTTTTATATTGGACATGTGAAGCTGAGGTTTACTGGAGTGTTATGACTGAGCAGGTCAGTTTTCAGGGAACCGCTCTGCCTGCTAGTTTGTGGCTGTGTGATGAAAGTCTCCTGGGTGCCGTTTAACAGTGGGTGTAAATACAGTGAAAGGTGTAAATACTCTCATTTCTAAATAAACCACACAGCAGTTTATAGTCGAGTGGTGAAAAACTCGGAAACCCACCAGCGGGCTCTGCGCTGAGACCCGCTCAAACAATGGCCATGGCTCATGGCAATCTCTGTCGGCATGGGTGAGTGCCCAGCCAGCCCCTACTTGTCATTGTCTCTCCTTTCGATCCCTCCCTCCCCTGTCCTCCCCTAGCTCTCCCTCCTCATTCCCCCCCTCGATTTCTCTATCCTCCCACACCAGCTCTTTTGGCTCACCACCACCTATACCCCAACACACATCCACCGTCTCCCCTGATCTCGGTCTCTCTCAGCAAGGATCTTCAGGCCACTGTTCCCTTTCTACCCCCACCCCTTCACCTCCAAATCACATCCTCCCACCACCTCTCCCTCCTACCCCTCCACATCTCCTCTTTCTCTCTGAGAGGATGTTCCAGATGCTGCACACTGACAGCTCTGGGATATTGTGTGTGGAAATGTTCCTGTTGGACCCGCAGGCCCTTACAATCTACCGGACAAAGGCTAGTGCACCTTTGCTTAAGGCTTGGCACCTTTGACCTCCGGCTTGCACTTCAGACTTGTCACTGTGGCTAATTTCGCGCCCCCTCTGCCTTTGCTGGCAGACGCACCCGTTGTAAAAGGTGTCTGAGCGCTACAACTTTGACAGTCGTAAAAGTTAATGCAATGCAGGACATGTTATGGCTGGTAAACAACAGCAAATATAAATAAATAAATGAAAGGGGAACAACATCACAGGAGCTGAAGTCTGTCACCTCTGTGCGATGAGGGATTGTTTTTTAAAAGAGCATGAGGGCAGTGGACATGTAGCTCCTGTAACATTTCAGAACATCAACACTCCTCATGTGTCCTTTAAAGAGTCCAAACCGACACATTAATAACCGTCTAATTCATTTGAAAAATTAAAGGCGTTTAATAAATGTTGGACTAGTTAGAAAAGAAAAACTTTATGGTCCTAAAGTACCCCCGTATGAAAATCCAGAATCATAATTAGTACGGATTAAAAAAAGAACAATTCAATAAGTGTTTAAGTTTGAACAAACAATTCAAACTGGGTTAAAGTAGAATTGCTCTTTCATTATCTTTCGACTGCATAAATCATAACGTCCTTCAGCCATTTTCTATTCAATCACAGGTAAGGAAATAAGAAACTAATTCCAAACTAGCCAAGGATCTGCTGCGCTAAAAAGAATATTTCCCCTGATACAAGATAGTGATTTGAGAAAATTTCTAATACTGTGCTCCTGTCACAATCAATTTCCAATTACCATAAATCATTGTTGCGTAAAGTGGGAGTCATTTGGAGTTCCACCTTTTTCCAACTCTAATATAAAGGATGAATTGAGCATTTATATAATATGTTGGAGGTTATTTCATTCATCATGGAAGAAACAATCAAATGAGACACAGGGAAGAAAAAGAATGTTTGAGATTAAACTTGCCAATTTCCTTTGGTATATTTGGTGTCTCCACTCACACAAGACTTCAGTAAGACTTTTTCTATCAGCCACAGATGGAAGAATGAAAAAGGTTAACCACAGGATCTAATTGAAAGAAATCTGGCGAAGGGTGTAATGGTATATTGCACAAAAAAGGGGAAAAACTCAGAACTCAAGCCTCCGTCCTGTGAAGCGTGATGGCGCTCATCCTGACTCGATCGGCTGTCACTTTTGACACAGCCTGCCAGAGTTCTCCTTCACCGATCATGGGTAACATGGCGGGTCAGAGGATGAAATAGAAAAGGCCAAGAGCCGTTCAATATTTTCCTCTGCCTTATAGCTGCAGATACTTAACTCGCAGACGTCAAAGACTCAAGAGAGCATGAAAAAAGCCTAAAATGACTGTCTAAAAAGGGGGAAAAAATACAGCATGTCTCTATGAATGTCAAGATCCTGATGGTCTCTGAGCAAAAGGCTGTGATACAATTGTAAGCCACTTGCTCAATGCAGCGCGTTCAACCATTTGAACATCATTCAGATGCCTATCTAGCTGCTGCAGCAGTTAAGTCGAGAGCTTCTGGAGTGGTAAGCTATGAGGAATGCTTCCTATTCTGTTGTAAGGGGCCACGTTTTGTGCTCTGCTGTTTAATATATATATATGAACAACTAGGGCAGATAAACTGGTCTCCAGATATCCAGCAACTCTTATTAGCAAATGTCCACCAAAGAGGCCGCAACACTCAATCCAATACATAAAGGTGGTGGAGAAATACTGCAGAGTAGGCAACAAAGCACACAACAATTAGGGCTTCTCCCAACTGGCTAGCCACAGGAGTCAGTGAAGGCATGTATTACCAGAGCTTTAACTCTTGCTCCATTATGTAGTGTATCCACACCCCGATGCTGCAATGTTTATCTACAACAGACTACAGAGCAGTTTCAAATAGCATTTTTAGCCTCTATTCTCAAGTGCCACAGTAAGAGATTCCAATTACCCGAATGGTAAGGAGCCGGAGAGAGGCATAAAGTACATTAGGGATCCCCTGTAACTGCAGGGACCTTTTAGAGACTCAACTGAAGAGGGCCAAGAGACTGGTGGGGACAGTGACCCCGCATGGATAGCCTCTGTCAAAATTTGACCACGTCAAGCACAAAGGCATTATGGGAATCCAGTGTCACCAAGTCCTAATTACTGTCTGTGTTCAGAGCAAATTACTGCCTTGTTCCTCTGATTAGGGAGGAGGCTAATCTTCACCTGTGTACGCCAGCACTGCTGAGGGCCCTTGAGTGTTAGCGCTTCGTCTTCTGTAATTTATTTTTAAATCAGTGCCCGCTCCCAAGAGTTTTGAGTGTTTTGTTGTGAACCGCTTACCATGATCCCCACCGCCGCCCCCTCACCCCTAAATCCTTGACTAAATCCTTGTTTGGTGCCATAGGAAGATAAGCAATAACAACACTTGGGCATAATTGACTCGTACTCTTCTGCAAGATGTCGGAGCAAAAATCATCTCTCTGCATAGTGCCTTGGCGTGTCACATACCGTACGCTCCTGCATGTTGCAGATATAGAATTCAATCAAGGTCTGAAACAAACTAACCTCATGTCGGAAAAAGTTCCCGTTCGACAGCAGGGAGGAGGGCGAAGGGAATAAAGCGGGAGCTGCTTCTGGCTGAATCTCTTCAACAAGAAGCAACTCTCATTTGGCTTCAGGCCTCACCCTGGAGGGTCCGCTTTAGAAACCACAATATTTGCAAATTTTCATCTGAGTGAACGTCAGTGTCTCGTCTGCATGGGGCGGTTTACAGGTAGTGTGTTACACAGGTGTTGGTTTACACAGGAAATGGCACATGCAGCCTGATTGGGATGGTCCCGAGAGACAGAGGCACAAACATAGAGCACAGATGGGTCCAAGGGCCAGTGGGAGCAGCACCTTAATGAATACGCAGCTGAGTACTGCACTTCCAAACATGCAAAACAATATTCTGAGGCCGCCGTAAAAATAGA